GGAAGTGTTGACACAGCTTCATTTCCAAGTGAAATTAGCTCTCATCGTCTACTGAAATCTTTACTTATTTCACTTATGCATATGAATGTATTTCACTAAGGCTGATCAATGTTTTCACTAGTGTTTGTAAGAGGTTTTTCAGATATGCATATGAATGTATTTCACTAAGAACTTTTTGTTCGCACGGGCAGCCATGTTGCCCCTGAAGCCGGTTTATGCTGAGATAATTCATACCCCTTCGTTCTAAGTGTGGTCCCGAAAAATCTTCGTTTGAAGGGCTGTCTGGCCCTTCCCCTACCCCTACCCCTACCCCTCCAACCAAAAGAGAATTGAGACAGGGGAAGGGCTAAGGGGTAGAATTGGGATTGGGCCTTGGGCTTGTTTGTTAACCCATTCGCCTATATACAATTTAGATGTTTGAAAACCGCCAAACTGACCCCAAACCAGCCCAAATCTTGTCCACCCGCCCAAGCCAATTTATACCTGCACAATCAAATTCAAAACTGCCCAATCTGGCAACAGTTGCCAGTTGGCCGGTGTCCTGCAGAGTTTAGCTCCAAACTGCCTCAACACACCTGCCTGGAAGTTTCAAGTATACCCAAGACCTTGATTAGCTGTTTCAGGTGTGTTGAGGCAATTTGGAGCTAAACTCTGCAGGACACTGGCACTCCAGGACCGAGTTTGTTGACCCTTGCTCTAGTATGTCCTCTCCTTCTACTACTGCACATTACAGTGAACCATCCAGTAAATAATATTCTAGAGACATTCTTATTCTTGTTTAAGGATTTATTTTTTACAACCATAAAATAATGTTCCCCTAACACTGCAAGGTGTTTTTTACACAACCTAAAAATAATTACATGATGAAGCTATGATGATTCTGGAGCAGCGTGTTTCTTCTTGTGTGTCTGAAAACTCCATTTATAAGAGAATCTCATGCCACAGATGTAGCAGCAGTAAGGTTTCTCTCCTGTATGCATTCGTTCATGGATCTTCAGGTAACCAGCTTGAGCAAAAGCCTTGTCACAATATAAGCATTTAAAAGGTTTTTCTCCTGTATGAGTCCTCTGGTGCACTTTTAAGCCACTTAGCTTATAGAAACTCTTCCCACAATCACTACAGGGATACGGTCTTTCTCCTGTGTGAACTCTCTGATGAATTTTGAAAGTATATGAACTAGCGAAGCTCTTCCCGCAGTCGGAGCACAGGTACAGTTTCTCTCCGGTGTGAGTCCGCTCATGGGTTTTCAGATTATTCAAATGATAGAAACGTTTCTCACAGTGTGAACACTGATACCGTTTGTCAAAGTGTATTCTTTGGTGTGAGTTTAGAGAAGCTGAGTTTGTAAAAGTTTTCCCACATTGACTGCACTGATGCGGTCTCTCATTGGTGTACATTAATAGATGGTTCTTCAGACTGATTCCATGTTTGAAGCTCTTCTCGCAGTGAGGGCACTGATATGGTTTGTCATCAGAGTGTATTTTTTGGTGTACCTTTAGATAAGCTGAGATTACAAAAGTTTTTCCACATTCACTGCACTGATGCGGCCTCTCCTTGCTGTGTGTGAGTAGATGTCTCTTCAAAAGAGATCGACGGCTGAAGCTCTTCTCGCATTGAGGGCACTGATATGGTTTTTCACCCGTGTGAATTCTCATATGAACAGAAAGATCTCGTTTGTTGCGGAAAAACTTGTTACATTCGTTGCACTGAAAAGACTTTTCACTGTGTCCCTTTATATGAGCTCTCATATTATTAAGAGTGGTGAAGAAATCCTTCCCGCACTGTTCGCAGCGAAACTCCTTCTTCACGCTGTGCTCCTTTGAATTAAGTGTTTTCTCTTTGAAGGTCGGAAAACTGATGTTGCATATCTTGCAGGTGAAGTCTTTCTGTTCTGTGTGTTTTCTCTCATGTCTCACTAAATGACCGTGTTTGCTGAATGTTTCTCCACAGTCCGTCACTGTCCTTTGCTCTTTGGATGTGGAGGCATTTTCTCTATCAGAAGATGAACCAGCGCTGTCATCTGAAAAGAACGAAATTTGCATAAAATATCAAACTTCTAAAACGGAATGATCAGACAAAATAAAAAAACTGTCTTAGTGCCAGTGGCGTAGCTCCACAGTCCGTCACTGTCCTTTGCTCTTTGGATGTGGAGGCATTTTCTCTATCAGAAGATGAACCAGCGCTGTCATCTGAAAAGAACGAAATTTGCATAAAATATCAAACTTCTAAAACTGAATGATCAGACAAAATAAAACAAACTGTCTTAGTGCCAGTGGCGTAGCGGACGGGCACGCGGGGTGGGGGGGCATGTTGGGGGGCCCCGCGATAAGACGATGGGGTGCGTTGAAAGAGGAAAATCATGTAGCCTATTGACAATAGCCAGAGCTATTGTCAAAAGCATTAAATATTGTAATTATTAAGAGTATATTTGGCATTTCCAATTAATGTAGGCCTGTTTGAAGTTTAAACATAAGTTTAAAAGTAACATTAAGCCACATACTTCCTGTTCCCCAAATTTAAGACCTCTTAAAATGATAATTAAAGGGTTAGTTCACCCAAAAATGAAAATTCTGTCATTAATTCCTCACCCTCATGTCGTTCCAAACCGTAAGGCCTTCGTTCATCTTCAGACACAAATTAAGATATTTTTGATTAAATCTGAGAGCTTTCTGACTCTCCATAAACAGCAACACAACTGCAATGTACCCAGGTCCAGAAACGTAGCAAGGACATCGGTAAAGCAGTCCATGTGACATCAGCGGTTCGTTAATAACGTAATCAGCGTAATCAGTGTTGTTTACGTTCAGCATGCGCGCTGTCTACTGAACGTAAACAACGCTGATTACGTTCTGGGGTACTCTCCAAAATGGCGGAAGATGGTAACTCAGGGAGAAGAATTGCTGAATACTGCACAAGGACTTGTACCCTGGCAGATCAACATTGTTTGTTGCGGACAACTACTGATGTATAATGCTATGTAGTATAATAAATGATAAGACACTTGTTCTTTGCTTTGTTTTATTTTATATAAGAAGGTGTAACATTAAAATATATTAAAATGCACATAAACACACACAAAACTCAAGTACATATGGAGGGAGGGGTTCTTGCAGACCAATCACAGCGCTTGAGGTCCGCGTAGAATTGATGCGCTGTTAGATATTTGGAAAGGTGCACGTCAGGCTACGGCGTATGGGTGTGCGTCTATGCGTAAGCTACGGCGTAGGTCCGACGCAGAAGTATAAATCAGCCTTTAATTTGAGATGTGCATTAAAAAAATGAAAACAAAACTTTGGTTTGGTTGAGCTGAAGGATGAAATGAAGAGCTGTTCAAACCTCTCTGTTCAGTTTGTCTCCTCTTTCTCTCAGCTTTGCCTCCAGTGAAGCCACCTCTTTCTTCAGCTGACAGATTTCTGTGATGAAATCCTCAATATCCAGCATGGACAGATCAGTTCCTACTGATTTACAGCAGACCACATCCGCGCGCGCTTTCATGCTCAACATCTGAACACAAACACATCATGATTAATATACGCATTTATAATGGACTGACACTGATTTAACCTCAAAATGATTGTGTTTACATACGAGCTGAACTACATAGAACTGACTTGTTATTAAAGAAAGATTAAAGAATATTTCGTAGAGTATTCAGAAATATTTATTTCATATGTAGCTGTGTTAGGAGTGTTTGTTTCATTGCAACATTGAGCCAGCGCAGGAATATTATCAAACATTATATAATATTGCATGCATATATTCAGATATTGTCAGATTTCTTCTAATTTCTCCCCAAACTGTAAGAACTTTAAAGCGTGTAGCATTGAAAATTAACCAACTGTTCACTACGAAACAGGGGCGTGTCCAGGATTTTATACTTGGGGTGGCAAAGAGGGGGCAAGAGCAGAATGAGGGGTGGCAACTATAGATCAGTGTTTGTACTCCCCATATATTATATTCCCTAACACAAGTGCTGGGGAGTAACTAGTTACATGTAACAGAATTACGTAATTTAATTACAAAATAAATGTAAGTGCAATCTGTTACAGTTACTGAGAGAGAGAAAAAAGTGTAATTACAGTTACTTCTGAAAATGTTAACAATTACAAAGGGGGTTACATCTGAATTTTTTCCCACAAACACGCACACACAGATTTGATTGATTTCTTTCTTAATTGCAGTGACTGCTCTAAAATACGAGGCACCAATGTTTCAGGAGTTTATTACACAGAATCGGATGCATGCTTATTTGATAACTGTTTTATTTCCTATTTGAGTTTATGCATATGCTTTAACTGTTTTTTTTCCCAAGGCATTGTTAGAAAAGATTTGATTTTAAAAACAGTATCGTAGCTATCCAACTATTTCTTGTTATGATTTTAAACCTGTATTTAACCAGAACGATCAGAATTTAACCAGAATCAGATCGATTTTAATGTAAAAAGAGGTGCTAAAGTCTGATTTCGTGGTGGCTGTGCTTTAAAATTAAATTATTATAATCTTAATTCAAGTAATGAAGGCTTTTGAGAGTCTGCCAATAATCAGTGTTGAGTACTACTGTAAGGTTAACCCTGCCTGCTTTAAATGTTTTGAAATGATTTAGTTGAAAATATTTTAAATTTAGAAAAAGTAATCAAATGTAATCAGTTACATTACTTTAATAAAGTAACTGAAATAGTTGCACTACTTATTACATTTTAAATAGGGTAACTTGTAATCTGTAACCTATTACATTTCCAAAGTAAGCTTCCCAACACTGGATAACAGTAACCCTCACAGAAAAAAGTCCGTGGTGAAAAAAGTGTCAAAGATGCGACCATGCCACAGCAAAAACTAAGCATTGTATAACACCCCCATGAACGCCTGATGGCCATATAATGGTCACACTTTAGTTAAGCAGTTTTTGGAAAGATTTATGTTTTGTTTTTGCCTCAAAATTATGCATATTTTGTATATAGTTACACTAAATGTAAACATGATATGCAAAATTCACATTAAAGAAGACATGATATTATCACCATGAATTCATTTATTCATTTGCCGTTTCCACTCCCATATAGTTATTTTCACGTTATGCTTTTGGATTTATAATCAGACATTAGAAAATCACAATTATAACATTTAAAAAATATTTTTGTCAAAGTTCAGCACTGTTTTGTACTTAAGTATGAAGAGTATGAACAGTTGAGCTGTCCTCATTTTAATGCATTAACTGTCTGACAGTAATGTCGAAGGGTGAGCGATTTATGTAGCTACTTACTTGATAACATTTTGAGTAGGCCTGTCGCAATAATCAATATATCGACTTATCGTGCAATATATGTACATGACCTCAATAATTTTTGGTGACACAATATATCGTCCATTATATTTACTTAAAAATTAATGTCACCATGTTTTGTACATTCCACTTGCGCCAGTGTCTTTTGCAGCTTCTCGAACATAACGTGGTGTAGTCACGAGGTGCTAGTTTAAATTTAAAAAATGCTTCTATAAAAATGTTTAATCTGCAGATATGGTCTTGTTTAGGGATCTGTGCCTTTGTGCATACGGACATCTGACTGCTCAGTAGTGATTGTGTTTTTCAGCAATAGTGTGCAGCCTTCATTTACAGAGAAAAGAAGTCAGGGAAAAAATCTATAGATGAAAGAATCTTTGTGCATTTTTCTTTTTTTCTACTTGTTACTTTGCACTTTTTGTTAGAAAATGTTTATTTACTATTTATATAAGTTTTTTAAGGTATCTAATATTTTGATACTTAATTCCCATGATTTAAATATTCTTAAAAATTAAAAGTTTGTTGTCATTTGGAAGTGTGTAGGCCTTCTTGCATTATTATGCTGTTAATTTATGATTATATATTCAGTGGCATAAAATGGTCTTTAAAATGACAATAATATCGTTTATCGCAATTATTTCTGGGGCAATATATCGCACAACAAAAAGTTGTTATCGTGACAGGCCTAATTTTGAGCTCATTTAAAATTCTAAACAAAAAAAAAACTTCTTTGTTTATCTTTTGATTATTTATAAACTTTTATTAAAGAAATTTGTCAAATGTAGCTCATCAGAATCATGGGTTTGATCGAAAAATGTAGGCCTGTATGTTAAATGCAGTGCATGGATAAAAGTAGCCTACGTAAACGAAAGAGCCCTTGAGCAGATCTGATAAGACCAAAATGAATTCTGAATGAATAGTAATAATAATAATGATGATAATAATAACATAAAAATGAATGTGTTATTTTCTTTTCTTTAAGTAAGTGTGCATTAAACGATTTGAAGGTTATCAGAATTAAAAGTTAGATGTGTCATTTCAGCTTTTTGAATCGCGAATTTTGTTTGGAAGGATGAAATAATAGTAGGCTACAGCAAAAACACATGAATCATGTAAACGGACTAAAACACTTACCGTCTGAGTGCTCAGTCTCCTTTCTTTCTTCAGTGGTTTTACCGGAGAACTAAAGATCGTCAGAGCGCCTCCTACAGTACGAGCGATAGATGAAGAGAAGAAAAGACGCTCCCGCTGGTGTGAGATTTATTCAAAACCTAATTTCTCTTATTAAAAATACCAATGTATTTCAGTGGCGTTATCAAGAGACGGATATACTATCATATCTTTACGAAATTATTAAATACACCGATAAACGAATGTTAGTCAGTCATCCGGTAAATGGAATAGAAATGACCGTTAATTTTTGAATTACGCGAGTTCGCGGTTTTCTGTGGAAGACAGCAGAAAAGGCGCGCAGAATCAGAGGAGCACAATAAATGAAGATGTATGTGTGTGTGTGTTTAAAAAAAATATATGAATACGATTTCAAATATATATAACTCATATATAAAAGCATACAAAAAAACGATATATATATATATAGGCTTTTTGTATGCTTTTCACACACACAACCCTGGTTTAATATTTTTTTAGCTGTAAAGTTATTACAGAGAACATTTTTATTTATATTTGAAATAAGGGCTTTTCTACGCAATTTCGGTTGATATTCGTCAATCCTGAACACTGAATGTCAGTTTCCACACTTCATTAAGCAGCACAAGCATTTTCAACTGTAATAGAAATTTCCAGCAGCACATGAGCCTATAATGATTCCTGAAGGATCGTGTGTATTCAAATAGAAAACAGTGAGTTTTGTACTGGAATAATATTTCACAATATTAATGTTTTAGTATTTTTACTATAAAAGAAGAAATAAAGCAAGTCAGCCACAAGCGCATGCTACCTGATACAAACAGAGACCAATCTTGCACTTTTAATTGCATTACACTGCAATTAAATTACACAATGACAGAATGTTTTTTTTTTTTTTTTTTTTTTTTTT